TTTTTTTTTTTTACCTCGTTTTTTTTTTGGCGGTAACCATAATGGTGGTCGAGTAGATCATGTTGTGCGGGGTCGAGAACCCTCACTCCGCGCAACGGGGGATGATCGCACCACGTTGTGTTAAAATGGTTAAGCTTCCTCGAGGCAGTTAAACAGTGCTTACAACTGTCTCTGGAAGTGAAAGCACCAGAAAATAAATTAAGTCATACGTAGCTGTCATCCGTACGCAAGGAAGTAAGCAGAAGATGCCGAACACCCTTAGCAGGATGCAGCTCACCCTTCATGCGACTCGCCAAATACCTCACGGCGCTTCGCGCTTGGTGATGTGAGAGCCTGGTCCGGTGAGAACCCGGCGTGCTCCATCCCGGCTTTGTAGGGATGCGAGGTCAATGGTCAAACGACTACGGCATGCACGACTATGAGTACACCCCCCCCCCCTCCCGCAAACATGCGACCATCCGATCACGATGAACCCGGTGCGGCGGCAGCCGGCTTGTCCTCGAGCAACCCGAACAGCGAAGCCCCCTCGTAGCGTGCGACGGCGGGGCCCTTGTTCTCCAGGCTGTCCACGGCCGCCCTGACCATCGCCTTGCCCACGTCCTCGATGTGGATCTCCTTGAACTTGAGGGGGAGCGCCCACGACACCATCTTGTGGATGGACGCCGCCGCAGAGGGCGTGTTCGCGTTGCCGATCAGCGTGCAGGGCCGGAAAAACGCCGCGGATTCTAGCCCCACAGCCTCGAAGTTGTTCTCCACCTGTCGTTGTTGTTGGTGGTGTAGGGGGGGCAGTTGCGTGCGGTGTGGAGAAGAGCAGGCGAAGGCGGTGGCAGGGGGGTTTACTGCTTGCGCGTGCTGTAGCATGAATCGACCACTGACTTCGTCGACCTCTCCAACGTTGCGACGCAGTATCCTACCCGTCTGGGATTGAGCTAGCTAGGCAAGCGGTGTGCGTGTGCGCGCGAACGCAAACACGTGCGTCCGCGTCAGTGGGACCAAACACACACAAAAAAGCGATTGTCTTTCGTGAAAGAAAAAAGCGAACCGATTATGTCATCCTACATGCCAATCCCCATAGGCATGGATAGTGGTTGCGCTTTTGCCCACTTCTGTCGCCTGAAGCACACACCGCGCTCAATACTCCGAGACGGCAAATAAATCCGCGTCTTGCATGTCACGATCGACAACAACGGTGGCACCAAAATACGGACTGAAGCTTCTCAGGCAGCCCCGAACCCCTCATGCATTCAAAGGTGTAGAAACCCCGGAACAGGCGGCCGGCCGCACCCGTTGAACATTGAAACTCCACCTACAACGAAAATCAAGAACGCAATCACGGAAGCGACACCAAAAACACCCGTGGCAACAACAGCATTGCGGTTCCAAGGAAACAGCACGTGCGTGAAATCCGTTGAACCAACACGTACGACCTCAACCCACGTCCTTCGTGACAAACGACAACAACAACAACGACAACGACGACGACGACGACGACGACGACAGTCACAACAACAACACCCCGCAACACACCTTGCCCTTAACGCCGAGGTACAGCCCGCCGCCTGCCGCCGTCCCCGTGATCCTCGACGGCTTGGCGGTCGCGTCGGCCCCGACAGACCCCAGCAGAGAGATGTGCCGCACGCAGCCCGCGCTCTTGGACGCCTGAGCGAACGCCGTCGGGATCTCCAGGTCAACCTTCTCGAACTCCTCGCGGGTCGCCTGCGCGCCGGGGCAGAGGTTGAGGTCAGGACGGGGACGGGTATACGCACCAAAGCGGGAAGGATATATATATATGCTTAGGGCGACATACATACATGCGCATGATGCATACAGGGATGCATGGTGCTTAGGGCGAGGTCCACAAAAAAATCATAATCGGTCGCGGGTCGGCCAGGGGATGGTCGCAGACCAGGCGTAGTTCCGAGCTTCGGGTGTGGTTCTCGGGGTGGTGGGGGGCTACGCAGAGGTGACGATTCAGGGCTTTCCGGGGAGGGCTGGGGCCACCAGCCGCGGGCCGGCGTATACTCCGCCGTGGTCTCTGCCGCGACGTACGCGAACCCACGCACAAATCAGGAAATATTAGCTGAATCGCGCTCCTGTTTTCGCCTGCTCGCTTTTCACCTTGGAGGGCTTACCGACGCCCATGGTTACGAAACAAGCAGCGACTCCAGCGTCTCTCAGCAGAGGCCTGAACGGGGTGGACGGGTGGGCATGGAAGTTGGTTACAAGTCGCAGCAGGCGGGGACACGTAGCACTTCGAAACAGCAGTGTACCGTACGCAGGTATACCCAGGCAAGGCAGACACAAGGCAGAAGCTTGGGAGCTGTGGAGGACTACCGTCTTTCGAACTCACTGGGGGTGAAGTACAGTGATGACATCGTGCGTCCTTTGAACCTTCTCCAATGAATCGAAAACAAGCACAAACCTTTTCGACATGCACTATTTATGTACGCAAGGGTATGGAGGGTCAACATACGACAGCACGGCGGCTGGAAAGGTCACAAGATCACAATATCCAGTGATGAGCACGGCGGTGATTCGTAAAACTCGCCACACCTTGTGGGTGGTGTCGAGATGTTATGATCTGTATGGTCAACACCAAGACTTTACTTGATACCAATACCTTGCTTCTATCGCCGCTGCCAACGCTGCGTCGCTGCTGAAGGAGCACTATTTTGTGCGTCTCAATTATGCACACTGGACAACATCCGTGCAGTCGGCGGTCTATTTTTTCTCGTGGCATAGCGACCTGTTGTGCAGCGGCATTTGCAATGTGTATCTCACGGCTGCTGTGAAGCAGTCCCATGGTTTTCGAAGCGGTGTTAATCAAGATTACGGGGTTATTATTGATGCATGCGCAACGAGACTACGTGGACCCGGCGGCAATCGGGCACTTACTCCTTGGTGAGGGCAGCACATAAAGTTACCACCGCACGCCCGCGAAGATTGGTCTGCCCCACTTGCAACTCAAGACACATTCAGATCGTTCACACACCAGGGAACCAACTAGGGTTTGTCCTACAGCCTATGTCAAACCCTTCTCTGTCACTACTAATTAGTCTAGGCATCACAGGCAGTAGATAAATATCCTCAAAACTCCGTAAACCATCCAACCTGCTCGTCACAAGCATCCGTGGAAGGGTGCGCGAACCAGCGGTGAAATCAGCAGCGGAAAAAAAGAAGAAAAAAAAAAATCATCATACGTGATTGTACATGTCACAAGTACATATGACACATGCCTCCATAGGTGCTATGTGGCGAAATCCCGTCAGCGCTACCAAAGCCTAGCCAAACATTAAAACCTCGTTTCTGCACCGGAGCCCCGCCGTGGTGCTGCAAGCAGCTTGCGCTCAGGCGACGCGGCTAATAAAATAGTTTCTGGACACATGTTCTGTCCGGCTGCTGCAGCAGAAAAGAAGAATGCAACCGCCTTCGTCCGCTCCCACATAAACTTTTCTCCCGCCGTGGTCAGAAACCGCGTTGGTGTGTGCAGTCTTACGTTTACGCGCACTTGGATCCACAGGGTATTTGCCACAAGCCCACGTCTCTACAACGCTGTTCGCAACGCGAAACGCGTTGTTTGCAACACCAAAACAACCCGACGTGCCGGCAAAAAACGGAACAGCAGAACGGTTGTCCGCCGAAAAGGCTGTACAAAAGGAGAAAGTAAAAGCAACCTACTTTATGCGTCACGTGCGTGGTCGACGCCTTGCTCACCCAATAACACGGGGCGACTCACACTGCAGCCGTGGCGATATTGCTGTCCATCTCGACGATGTGCTGTGTGACTCTAGGCTCGCCTTCGTACTTGTCGAGTTTGCGCCTGTTGAGGAGGACGATTCCGGTGCACATCGGTTCAGCGAGGAGCGAAGCCACGACACAGCCCCCAACTTGACCAGAGGCCCCGAGAACCGCAGCGGCGAACCTACCCATCTTGCGACACTTGATCCGAGGGGATGGTTGCGTGTGTGCAGAGTATGCAGTCTTTGGGGTTGGCCAGCGCAAGCGCACACAAACGCAGGATGATTTTATTGTTGGCGAATTGGGGAGGATGGAAATAGAGCCAGCAGTGATGCTCGATTCCACGGAGCCCCATAATCAGGAGTTAGTTGTTGTTGTTGTTGTTGTTGTCTTCACATCAAATTTTTCGTTAGTTAATAAACTCGTGTCAGTTGCTACAGCAGTGCCGGAAAGATGTGAGCCCGAATACGGGTGCTTTGAAAAAAAAAAACCTTCTTCAACGAATTGAGCGGAACCAAAATTTTCGTGAGAAAGCTTTCGCCAGCAGCGATCGAATAAGACTACCCACAGCGCGGGGTTTTGGTTTTTGAGAAAGATATGGCTCCATTTCCATCAATCAATCAATAATAATGCAAGAAGGCACTTCATCCCACAAGAATCGCCATATCTCAACAACTACGGCAAACCCCGCGAAAAAAATTGCAGATTTGCAAAGCTCTCTTAATCCCAAAATCTAGCAAAGACGCGGTCCGTGGTCACAAAAATGCTAGAGCCATCAGAAGATAGATCTAAAGAACACGCACACTAGCAAGAAAAGGGTACACAAGCCCGAAGAGGTACACCTGCATCCATCCCTCCCTGCAGCACGTTTGCGTGCCCAAAAACTGAACTACCCGTCCACACACTACATTCGACTACTACAGTGTACAGCAGCAGCATCCCCCCTGTCCCACACTTTACCAAACAAGGAGTCGAAGAATATGACTCTCTTACCATGGTACTATAAAGAGTCATATTCTTTGCAAGGAGTAGATTGACACTCGCCCTGTGGGAACGCCTTCTTCGCTGATCGCGGCTTCATAATAAGGAGTGGGATCGGGCGACTGTGTAGACCCATCTCTTTCGACGCGATGCAGAATCCACCTCGACGGAGTCGGAGACACGCAAAATGGAATGACGGGAAACCGTACAAAATATCCTAACCGCCACCAGTCAGTATTCGCCACACTTACTTTTTTTACTCTTTTACACTCAGTTCGAAAATTACATCCCGTTCGACTGTGGGTATATCTCGAATGGGTAGTCTTTCTGTGTGTGTTTTTATTATTCCTTAAAATTATGGAACGGCCTTCGCATACAAACGCGAATACAATGGTCCCTACATTTCCGAACAGAGTGGTAAACGGTTTCGACATGAGCAGGGTGAGTATGTATGTGACGGCAAGAAGACGAGATCAATCTCCCCGGGGGATAAGAAAAGGGCCGAGTCTGGGCGCACGACGTGCAGACCAAAGCACGCAAGCTCCTCTCCTGCCAAAGATATATCCAAAAGAAACGATCGGAGTGTGTGCCCTCTGCCTTGACTCCTGAGAACACAACACTTTTGATGTTTGCCTTTATTTGGAGCGCGAAAGACAGTTTGAAGCGGCACTTCTGTGGTCGAGGATAGGGGGCGAGAACCGCCGGGCTGAGTCATCACCTAAATGTAAAAAAAAACTCGCGAGGGCTAACGCATTTAATTTACCGATAGCAGCCAGCAGTGAACTGCGGACATCTGGCCATCGGAAAATTTCTTCTGGACACGAGATCGGTGACCTATCTACCTCGAAGTCCAAATGTTTTGGTGTTTCGGGCATTTACAGGCTACCGAAGAGTATACTACTTGCAACAATCCGCAACAACACTGCACGAACAATATATACACAACGTACAACAAAAACCCCGCCGCACTAGGCGAGCCGTGACCGGGTTTGAATTGTCAAGAAAACAACCACAACAACAACACCAGCAGCAGTACCATGTCGTAGACGGCACAGAGGTAAGCATGAAAAGGCTGACTTCGTTCTCCCTTCCCCTCATCGCCCGTCCCATGACTCGGTAACATACGCCTTTTCATTCGATACACTCCCAGCCGCAGCAGGAAAGAACACGATCCACCGGAAACGCATCGACGGCATGCGTGTAGCTACTGCTGTTGATTGTGACAGCAATAATGCCCACCAAGAAGCGACAGCGGGCCTATAGTATCATCCCAGGGAATAATACCTCTCGCTATCTCTAGGACCGTGACGGCAGTAAAACAAGTGTAACTACAGCAGCATCGCCAGATCAAAATAGACAGCGACAGGGCGGAAAGAAGGTACCCGGGGTATCAAACATTCCTATCCCCCCTTCCTCTTTGGTTGTGTATTCCTCAAAGTTGCGCTTCGCGCGGTCTGTTCACACTCCAGCGAAACCTCAGTTTCGCAAGCCTTGTTCACTCGAGTTGCACGCAAAGCTGTGAGCCGGCGCATGGAGCCCGCCATCCCATGCTCTTCTGCACCCGAGTCACGATTTTCTTGACCGTTGGCCACCCAGACCAAGGTGCCACGCATCGAAGCTGACACCCGGGATACGTTTTCGAACAAAGCGCGCGCAGACGCCCGACAGCGCCGACAGGGAAAAACCGAGGCATGAGCTTGATGACAGAAGGTAAAAAAGATCCGGTGGTGAAACAGCAGTGTTACTCTTCGTTCTGAGCACATTCAGGGCACCCATAAATCACACGAAACATGGTTGGCTACTAACATCACAGGAAGACAAGACAGCAGGGTTTGAACGCCAACACAAACAAGAAACATGATCGGCGGTTTGCGACATTCGATACGTGTTCCGCCAGTCTACAACTGGCAAGCAAGACTGGAGGGGAAGATAAGAGTTGGGGCTACTACGATCAAGGGAGGCGCCAGAGGGTGAGCCTCGGATGGTTACGACCCGCTACAATAACACAAACCCGCTGAAAGCGCGCGAGTACTCCGTAGGAGTTGTGTGCGGTACGTTTGCTGCCCAGAATTGGGCGCGATGAACAACATCAGACAGATGCCGCCCGAAGGTTCGGGTACTTGTCCTGTATTGTGCATATCACAATTAATTTAAGGTGCCGTTGTCTCCATCACGAGGATAAGACTATACTCAAACAACGAGCTTGAACGGGAAAAACACACACACCTCACAGGGAATGAATATGACTGACCTTCAACGCACTACAAGAAGCCCACGATCTTGCGGAACAGGTTCTCCTCTGTCAGCGCCATCATCCAGGCCGAGAAACCATCGAACCCACAGACGGTGCCTTCCCGAGCAGCTTCAATTCGGGCGCGCGCACCACTCCTCGCGCCTGCTCCACCACCGCCTCCGTTTGTCCCATCCACCTCCACCTCGACCTTCACCTGTCTCGTCCTAGCACGGCGCCTCGGACGTTCCTGCAGCCCCTCGGTAGCCTCAGCTGCTGCTGCAGGGATCTTCACTGCCAGCCGTACCCTGTCTGGGTGGGCACGGCAAAGGACCAGGAAGCCCCGGCGACGCCAAGCCCTGTCCTGCGGAGCACGTGCCAGTAGCTTGGAAATACGCTCAAAGAAAGGGCGACGTGCTTCGCTAGACTCAGCCATGCCTTGCATCACCCTGGAGACGACGGTCTCTCCCTGTGAGTCCACGGCTGTCTCGTCCGCACCCCATCTCAACAACAGATCCGCCGCGTCGTAAGTGCCGAACAAACACGCGTCGTACAACGGGGTTAATCCATTACTGTCGTTCGAGTTGACCTTGGCTCCCAGTTGCAAGAGAGCCAGCATGGCTGCATACGAGTCGTAAATTGCTGCGTACCGGAGCGGGGTCCGTCCACTCGACGTCCGACCTTCGATATTGACTCCGGCTTCGAATAGCGCTGGGATGGCCGCCGCTCTGTTTCGCTTCGCTGCTACGTGCAGCAATTTTAGAGGCCGGTTCGCTGCTCGGAAGTGGGGATCGGCACCTTCAGACAAGAGCACTTTCACGGTGGTGACGTGGTCCCCTCTCACCGCCAGGCGTAGCGGAGTCTCTCCTTTGCTGTTGAGGCAATTCAGGTCGACTCCCTTCTCGCCTAATGCTAACACCACCTCATCTAGACCGTGCCAAGCAGCGAGGTGGATCGGTAAGTTGCCGTTTGATCCTGCCTGAATAGGATTCGCCCCGCTCAGCAGCAGGTCCTCCGCAATTCCCAGATGACCCCCTTTGATCGCGAGGTGCAGCAGGCCATCATTCGTGGCGTCCAGGGTGTTCACATCCGCCCCCGCCATGATCAGGGCTTTTGCAGCAGCCTCCTTCCCGCCAATAACCGCCAGATCCAGGGGTGTATGCCCGGTGTCGAGGGATTTCGCTTTCATGTCTCTCCCCGCCCCTGCCCTGCGCAAGCTTGTGATGACATGTACGTTGCCGCCCTCAGCAGCCGCATGCAGCAGCGTCTTGCCATGACAACCCCGCCAGCCGGCACCGACGTTGGCCCCGGCTCCCAGCAGCTTATCTACCAGGTCACGGTTACCCGTGCCTGCCGCATGCTCTAGCGGAGCCCTCAGCCACTCGGCCCACTGCTCGGGTGTGGCCCTATCGCACACGAGTTTGAATATCGTGTCTCCGAGATCCTGCAGGATGCTCGCACGCTCTTCGTAACCCGGCATGATAGATGATGTATGTCTCGCTTATGAGCTCAAGAGGGTCGTCTGGGCGAGCTAAGTATCGTGGGAGATACCAATCCAGCCACGTATCTCTGTGGTGTGCACGTTGGAAGCGGAGTACTGCTGTAGCTTGACCTATATGCTACATGCTACGTGCATGTAGAAGTGCGCCAGACAGGGTGGCACGCAGATGGGGCGGTTCCATCACTATATGTATGTTACTAGAACCAGTTCGGTTCACGGAGCCACCAGCGCGCCTACCACTTCCACCGTCCACAGTGACTGCTGTCCTTTGTGCTTTCCTCGCGCGCTCAACACTGCTGTACCCGCTACGCCGCCCCGTGCATTGAGACCCGACGTTGGTGGGATTGGGTTCAATGTTGTAAGAGGTGACAAAATGGAAGTGGAGACCGGAATCAATGGGGATGTCAGCAATGCTCAGAAGCAGCTTGGCGGCCGGGTGACCGCCACCTACAGAAAGATCTCCAAGACGGCCGGTGCGAGACCGCGAATGATTAGCGACGCCGTTCGTCATGATTTAATGGATGGAATCGGGCAATTCATCTCGCAGGTGGGTCGAATTTTAGTTAGAAGAATGTGAACAGAAATAGATCACAAATTGTCATCACGTCATTGTCATGTATCAGACCGCGTGTGCCACCTCAAGAGGTTCGCGCGATTGCAGCTGCAAGGGCCAGGATATGGTACCAGAGTGTGAGTTCGGCGTTCCTTCTCTTGCTTCACAGACCTCAACCTAGATCGAACGATTCTGCTCAACAACGGAGCTGCAGAGGTTGCATTGCCAAAATCGCGTTTAACCAGCATGGCCCCAATCTACAGATAGAATACTGCGATCAAAACTCGGCCAATATTGCGGCGGTGTTTTCCCGTTGCCTCTGAGTATGTAGCGTCGATCCCTCTCTCCCTCACAGACATGAACCGTGTTTGGGTATATTCATTGGTCAGCCGGTTGGTATAGCAGTCGATTTTCTCTCCAAAGGAAAAGCGTAGAAAATCACAAGAACGCTGCTGCCTTTCTTTTGCAAACTTGTCTGCGTGCTGACCGTCGCCGACAGGGTAGCATGAGCTTCTCGAGTTTCCGCGACGTGTGGCAGAGCCGGAAGCTGTCCGTCCTGCACTTCGCGGTGCCCAGAAGGGTCAACGAGAACGCTTTGCTCCAGCTGTCCTTCTCTGTGGCCCTCGACCTTCTCATGAAGGACGACGAACACAACGCGGGAGAGGACGAGATGGACCCGGATGGCGAAGAGGATGAGGATGATGATGATGATGATGATGATTGCGAGGAGGGGGGGGGCAGGGCCAAGCAGCCTCCTCGTGGCAAGAGAGCCGACGCCGGCGGCCGCGGCCGCGGTCGGGGTGGCCGGAGCATCACCGGTGCCCGGGGCGGCGGCGTCACGCAGCAAGCGGCCGCGAAAGCCCGTGCTGGAAGCGGTCGGGGCCACGGCGGTGACGCAGCAAACGGCAGTGGCGGTCCTAGCAGTAGTGGCGGCGGTAGCGGTGCCGCGTCGTCTCCTACCGCCACGCCGGTTGATCTGCCACCGACCCTGCCGGCCCACGAGACCGGGCCGGGGTCCCTCCCGTTCCAGATCGGCGCCCTGTACGCGCTGTACTGCCTTCACGGGACTCAGTTGTTCAGCTCCGCCCCGATGCCCGTCCGGGTGTCGCCGGAGGCGATGCTGGCGCTGGCGCGCCTCCGGTGGCGCCTAAAAGCGGCTGGCCCGCGAGCTCTGGATGCCCTGGCCGTGCTCTCGCGCCTTGTTCTTGGCGATGGTTGTAACCCCGGCCGTGGCGATGGCGGTGGCGATGGTGGTGGCGGCGGCGGCGGTGGTGGTGGTGGTCGCGGGGCCGGCAAGAGGAGTCACAGTGCGCTGCAGGCCGCCGCGTACACGGGGCCGTATTCCCTCGCGTTCGTGGAGTCCAACATCTCGCCCACCTCGATGACAACGAAGGTGCAAGCTCAGGAGGCGGAGATCAGATCGAGAGAGGCGGAAGCGGCCATGGCAAAGGAGGCAAGGGCGGCGGCGAGGGCCAAAAGGGTCCTTGAGGAGGAAATGTCCACGGGGACCCCGCCCTCGGGAGCCGCGCAGGCGTCGAGCTGGGGGCCGAGGGCGAGAGTGGAAGCAGCGGTTGAGGCCGTTTCCGAGCCCATCAAGGGTTTGTCTTCAACGTACAGGGAGTACGCCGCCGCTCTCGCGGAGGCGCGTGTTCCGACCATCACCACCGCCGGCACGTCCCCCGCCGATGACGACGACAGCAGCGACGACAACGGCAGCACCATGGGCGACGCAGGTAACAACAACACCGTTGGAGGTCATACGGCGGGACGGAGCGAGTGGTTTGGGCGAGACCTGGCGGCCATCCTCGATCGCACCCGTCGGAAACAGCCGTTGCTCGATCCGCACGGGCTGAAGGAGCTCGCCCTGCATCCGCCGCCGCCGCCGCAACTAGAAGCGGCGTGTGCCACATCGGGGTCGCCATCTCACCCCCCCGCGTTCAGAGCGTTGCCTTTGCCGGTGCTCCCGGAGACCCTGCACAGGCTAGGGTGGCGTGTCGGGAAGACGGCCAGAACGTCAGTGGTAAGCGCAAAGGAGGAAGCGCGGTCAAGCATGAAGGCGCGCTCGAAAGCGAAACGGAACGGTGGCGGTGGCGGTGGCGGCGGTGGCGGTGGCGGCGGCGGCGGTAAGAAGAAGACTTCTCAGGGCCCGATGGTTGCGTCTGGCGTACGTGACAACATCAGGCTCCTTCAGATGGAGCTGAATGCCGGGACAGACGAGGAGGGTGACGACAGCAGCAGCAACAGCAGCAGTGGCGAAAGGGAATCGGCGAGGGAGGGGGGTGTGGGGGCAGGGCAGGAGGGGGAAGTAGTAGACGAGTGGATGAGCGATGACAACTACGGGTTGCCCTCAGGAGTGCAATCGAGAGTAACGACCGGGAGCCCCCCCGCCCGTGGCGGTGCTGGTTCCGCTAAGAGCGCTACGTTTGGGCTCCCCTCCGCTCCCGGGGTTCCACGGTCGGCGGCGGAGAAAAAGGTACCAGCACGCGCCCGAAAGCGCGTCCACATTAGCAGCAGCAGCAGCAGCAGCAGCAGCGACAGCGACAGCGGTAGCAGTGGGAGCGAAGATGAAGAGGGAAGCAGCAAGGCCGAGGTGTCAGACGGTGTTGAGGGCAACCTCAGGGACAGCAGCGATGGTGGTGGTGGCGGCGTCCCCGACGCGGCGTCACGCCGCGAGCCCTCCTCCTCCACACCCCGAGCGCCACGCCACGGCCGCAGCCACCTGAGCAGCAGTAGGCCGCAAGCTTCCGCCCCCCGACAGCCGGGGGCGGAGGAACAAGTTCAAGAAGAGGTAGTTGTAGAACGCCGCGGTCGTGGGCGCCCCGGGAAGCATCCCGTGGTGAAAGGACCGGCTAGTGGCGGCAGCGGTCGATCACGCGGTGGGGCTGGAGCCGGAGCGCGGGGGCGGGGGCGCGGTGGCGACGGCGGCAGAGGACGGGGGCGAGGCAAAGGCAGGGAGGGCAGGGAGGAGAAGAAGGAGGAGGACGAGGACGAGGACGAGGAGGACGAGGAAAATGTATCGCCGCGTGGGAGAAAGCGTCCGGCGGACAGCATCTCAGGCGCTAAGGCGGGCGCTAGGAACGGAAAGAAAATCGCACAAGGAAGGGGGCGGCAGGCCTCTTTCTCCGGAGAGGGTACGAGAAGCGCTACCGCCTCCGCCGCGCTCGAATCCAGCGCCGCGGTCACAACGACAACACCGCTGGCAGCTGTGGGCGCCGCTGCGAAGAACAGAGAGACAGCGGGGACGGGTAACTCACCCTTGCGAGGCAACGCCAGCTCGTCACCATCAGCACGGTCACACCTTCGTGTATCGTCTGGTCGCAATGATCCCGCTCCTGGTTCTTTCTCCGGTGAAATCTCCAAGGCAACTGCGGCTGGTACCCGACCCTCCTCGTCGGTTCCTGAGGTGTCGCCAGTGGCGACACCGTTGGCATCGAGCGGCGCGGTGGGGGGTGGTGGAGCAAGAGCAAGCGCGGCCGCCGGTGGCGGCGGGGGGGCAGGGTTCGATGCGACCGCGAGCGTGGGCGCGGGCGTCGGCGATACCAGCAGCGATTCGGGCTCGGACGATGACGCTTCCGCTGGAGCAGGAGGCCCCGGCCGGAATGTGAGAGACGTATCGATGTATGCATACAACCCGCGAAAGCACATGCGGTGTGAATCCCACCATGAACGGCGCGTCAGATTCACGAGACACGCGCACGATGTACCGCGTACGCGTGCTGCTGTTGCGATACCATGACGAATGTGCAGGCCAGCACTCTCCGTACAAAAATCTTGCTCCGCTGCTTTTGTTTTACCCCTTAGTTTGGCTCAGCCAGGCTTTCTTTCTTTCCCCTGGGTGTGGATGATTGAACCCTTTCTGCACCATGCCGTTTTGTGATTCGGCAGGAAATTGCCGGAGGGTCTGGCAACACCGCCGGGAGCCGTACAGCACCTCCCCCTCCTTGCCCCGCTCGTACCCCTGGTGGTGCGACTCGTGCATCTGCCGCTAATGCTGCAGTTGGGGATGGCATCTCTTCCTCTGCTTCGTCGAGCAGAACCGAAGCTGAAGCACCAGCCGTCTCTAGAGCATCTGCCGCTGCCGAGGCCAACGGCGGTGTGGCACGGGGGCAGGAGATGGGCGAAACTTCTAGCGACAGCGACGACGGCTAAGAGCGGAGGAACAGAGATTCTCGCGCCTGTGTAGGAATTTTCGCCGCAGGGCTAGCTCCATAACCGGCTGGTCCGCTCTCCCTCGGAGTATGACAGCACGTGCCTCTTGAGTGGTTCCTTTCTTTTGAAAGCAGATCAGCAATCGTTTACCGGTATACCCTTGGGTACAGTCCATCTGGAAACGTTGATTAAGGGGGGAGGGCATCGGGGGGGGCGTGAAAGAACCGGGCTCGGGCAGGCGTCGGTCGGGGGTCGTCACTATGTTGGCACGTTCACTTTTACACGCACTGCTATCCGGTAGTATATTGTAGGCGGGATGGAGCTGGTTGTGATTGTTTGGTGCGCCTTGCGAGAGCTACAAGTCTATTTAGTAGTATGGAGCGGCTATCTGTAGAACGTCTACGGTTGACCGTCAGTCAGCCGCGGATTTGTTCTTCGAAAGGGCACATCGTTTCAAAAGATGAGATCCCCTGCCTTTATGGGTTGTGTGTTTATTGGAAAAGAGCACATGGTGTGGCTTATCGACTCCTCCCCTGTGAGATGATTGGGCGTGTGTCGGTGTTCGAGCGCATGGGGGTGTCGGAGGACACACACGTACGTACGTAGTAAAACAACGAAAATGCAACCACAAGAGAAATAGATACATGTAGTCCAGGTCAATTGTTTCGATTGACCCTCCTACCACTTGCTCTCCGTCAAGCAGCATGCCGCACTAAAGACAGAATTGAGCCACCACTAGGTAGGTCCAGCCGCTGATAAGATAATGGCTGGATTCACTTTCGGATACTATTGCTGTACGTGCATCGCTCTTCTTTCCACCCACATGCAACATCAACAATTTCCCTCTGCATTGATGTATGAACTCGTGTGTTTCCGCCGGCACTACCGACCCTCACTATCTAAGGACCTCAAATATCCACTTGAGTCTCCTCACGTCTCATCTCGGGCGGGCCGGCAGAGATCACAACATTAACATTACACGTTTTTTTTTTAGTTTTCCATATGTATAAAACATAGACTGTAGTCCGTTCCGGATGACAATTATTCGCGTCGGACGGCGGTAGCGACGACCTTTGGAAATACATAACTTGAGGTATGGGAAACGAGCAAGCTTTCCGGTTAGTACTTGGGGTCTCGTTGCTGTTGGGGGCTTGGGGCTGGTTATGTAGAACTTCAAGCAACATTTTCTGTCGTTGCTTCTGAACAACTCGAAACTCTCGCCGTCTGGCCAAACGTCTACGAACATATGCGCTCATGAAATCCATGGAATGACTGGTGACTGGCGGAATGACCCAGGTCGCGCCCGGGAAAAATTCGCGCCGCCTGCTGTCCGCGCGGCGAAACAAAAGAAGCACATTACAGCATTACAGCAGTAGCAGGTCGTCTTGTTGCTTCTCGTCTTTGTCCCTGGCTCTTTCGGGGCGCAGCTTCGCCATCATGGGGGATGATCGTCTCGAGCTGGCGAAGGCTAAGGAGCTTGCGAGCGTTATGGGCGGGGCGTGGCACTCGGAGGAGTGGGATGTGGATTCAGACTCGGAACAAAGTAGAACCAAGGTGCGTGTTTTTCCATGGTCATGATGATGATGAAGGGAGAGGTGGGGTGTTGGGTAGTTGGTGCCTACAGCAGGGCACGCGTTTAGTCTCAATTTCTCTTTCCTCGCGTCAGTGCTTGTCCGGTGGTGCAGCCAGCCATCTACTACTTGATGTTGGGGTACTCAACTCGATGGCTGTGCCCTCTTCATCCAGCCTGATAGTGTGGCATCGACTTTTGGCCGTTTGGTTCCCAGAGTGGAGGAAGGGCAGACACTCCTGCTGTAGTTAAACGGCCTAGCGCCCTCCATGGGCGGCGAGGGAGGCATGGAGCGTTCGTGGGGTACAATGTCTTCTCTAGAGGGAAGCATGGGTGCTAGCTACCCTACGAGTGAATGCAGTTGTGATTTTGTCGGTCGTAGAATCAGGTACAACGTGTGCTGCTGGAGACGCCAACATTCGAAAAACTCGAGGTCTGCTGCGGTCCCTCGATGGTACTGCCGCCGACGCCCCCCTGTGATATGCATATGCTATCATACAAGTACCCTCTCACAATCAGCGGGATGCTGCACTGCTGATTCATAAGAGTTTGATAGAGGCGGCAATGAGCTCGGCCGATCGAACGGCAACTGTCGTGATGTGCCCATCATGGGGGCAGCAAAAACGGTTTGTGATCAGCGGAGTATCATAGCATTGTACCCACCCGTACTCTGTAAGCAATATGCATAGATGGGATGGATGATTGGAGTATCCCATATGCAGACAACGACAACAACGTCCATAGACTCGAAATAAGCCCAGTACCCAGCCGATTTCCCTCCACTCACTGCAAAGACTCCACCACATCCCGTTCGACTGTGGTTATTTCGCGAACGGGTACATGTAGTCTTACCGGGTTTTTATTTATTTTTCCTAATAAGAACATGCAAAGGGTCGTAGAGTACTCATGGTTCTGTAGTACAGTGGTTGTGGTGATCACTCCACCTGGTCCTTGGTCAATTGTCTTTTCTCTTCGGTCGATGGTCAGGTAGAACCAGCACCCAATTTCCCTTCTCGTTGTCAATGGACCCCCCCCCCCCCCCCCCCCCGGTGTTTACCATCGGGGTTGGGTTTTCGTCGCTTGGCAACGACGTTGTAAAACAAGCCCCCCGCTCGGTGTTTGCCATCGGGATTGGGTTTTCGTCGCTTGGCAACGACGTTGTAAAACAAGCCAATCCACTTCGTGAACTCGGCAACCAAGGTTACCGTTTTTTTTTTTTTACGCCGTATTTGTTTTTGGCGGTAACCATAATGGTGGTCGAGTAGATGATGTTGTGCGGGGTGGAGAACCCTCACTCCGCGCAACGGGGGATGATCGCACCACGTTGTGTTAATATTGGTCAAGCACCCTCGAGGCAGTTACACAGTGCTTACAACTGTCTCTGGAAGTGAAAGCACCAGAAAATAAACTAAGTCATACGCAGCTGTCATCCGTACGCAAGGAAGTAAGCAGAAGATGCCGAACACCCTTAGCAGGATGCAGCTCACCCTTCATGCGACTCGCCAAATACCTCACGGTGCTTCGCGCTTGGTGATGTGAGAGCCTGGTCCGGTGAGAACCCGGCGTGCTCCATCCCGGCTTTGTAGGGATGCGAGGTCAATGGTCTAATGACTACGGCATGCACGACTATGAGTACACCCCCCCCGGGGCACTTGTCTCCTCTGTTACTTATGCGTGTCTCCTACCACACCCGCCTCAACCAACACGAAAACGGCGGCCAGACGGACAAAGGAAACGCCAACGGTGGCGGCAGCAGCAAGGACGGCGACAAGACCAACAACAAGGGCGGGTTCTTGAGTCGCACCTTGTACCGCCCGAAACCCAGCGCCGCGGGCGCCAACGGCAGCGCCCATAGCAGCGGCAGTAAACCGCCCAACATTCCTCCCAAGAGCGGGGCAGGCGGCAACGCTAAGAACGGGGGCTGGGGCGGCGTGGGCGGGCGCCGCTCGAGCGGGGGGGTGCGGCGGCCGGCGGACGGCAGGGCGCCGGGGAGGAGAGACCCGACGGCGGTGGCCCGGCTGGAAGCGGAGGCCGCGGCCAGAGCCAAGGCGGAGAAGGAGGAGCTTGGCGGGCGGGTCGACCTGTCGTGGCAGCTTCCGTCGAACGTGGACTACTACTCCGCACCGGGTGGGTTTGAGAGAAAAGCTGTGCTTGTGGGTTTGGTGATGTTGTGTTTCGCTTTTTTGCGTGGGTTCGAGAGAAGAAACTGCGGCGCGTTGTTGTTCATGCTTGTGGGTTTGGTGATAATGGTGTTGTGTTTCTCTTCGTGCGTGACCGAGTCGTTGCATATTGTTGGCGATCACGTCTGGGTGGGACGTGTGTGTTCGTTGTAGGTTTTGTGTGCCATCCATGGAAAATTTGACGTTTCTGGACCACGCTAGTGCTAACCCCACGATGGTTGCGTGTCAAATGGTCCGTCTTTGGGCTGTGCTCGTTTTTTGAGAAGTGTGGTCATGTGTACGGGGCGGTGCGCCTCTGCCTGTCGCCACTACTGCCGGCGCGGGTGATGCTTATTTATTCTCGCGTTTTTTCGTGCCGCTTTCGTTTGGTGGCTATCATGACCCTGTCACCCCCCCCCCCCCCTCCCACTCCTCTTCCTCCTGACGATATCGCGTTTGCTGTGTCACTGTGGCAACCTCTCTCTCTTTCTCTTTCTTTCTTTCTCTCTCTCTCTCTCTCTCTCGTCTCTCCGTTTATATCTCTCTCTCCACATATCTCTCTCAATCTCTACTTCTCTGTTGCCCTCTCCTTCTGTCTCTCTCCATATCTCCATCTATCTGTCTTCCTAACCCTCCCAACACCCACAACCCCCACCCCCCGTCAATCGGAACTCCAGCGGCGTTGCTGCGGGAGCTCGTGAAGGAGATGCCGGCAGACAAGCGGCTGTCCTTCCAAACCCGCGTCGCCAACGCCCGCACCAAGGAGTCCATCGAGAGCGTCCTGGAGGACTACGCCGAGCGGCTGGAGAGCCTGGTCCTGCCGCACGCGCGCTCGCGGGAGATGGACCTGCAGCAGGTCAAGAAGGTGGGTCGGTCGTCCGCGCCTGCGTGTATCGGGCGCCACATGGCGCCCCTGTTTTGTTAGGTTCTGGGGTGGTGAGGTGCCGCGAGCTGACATCATATGTATGCCTACATAGTGTTCTGTGCAGAATACCGGGAGATAACATGTATCGCGGTGGGGCCACTTTCACATAGCGCCGCACTTGAGGACCTCTAGTCTAGTTTCGGGTGAGGCTGGGGTTCTTAGTCCCTCTTGCGGGCTACAAATGGCCGCCATATAGAAGTGCCAGGTTTTAGCGTAAGGGTCTTACCCGGAGTCGCAAATGTTGCTCAAGCCCTTATGTTTGATAGAATGTTGAGCGTGAAGTTCTTAACTGCTAAGTTATCGAGTGCGGGCGCTGTCTGTCTTTTTTCCCAACCCGACCACCGCCCCGGCCATGGCGTTGGAGACCTGTCTCGAAGTTAAAAACAAAGAGAAGGGGGGGGTATATTTGCTTTCGAAAAGGTGCCGACGGAAGCGAGAGACTGCGGTAGTAGTCAGATGTATGCATACAGTACATGTGTGGTTTTGGGTGGCGTGAGGGCGATGAGCAGCCGCGCCAAAGCGCCTCTCAAAGTCAGAGCGTCGTGGGGGGTCGATTGGATATATAGCTAATGCTGTACGTTTATGTCGCACATGTACGTTGTAGTGCGGAATTGTTTTGTAGGTGCTCGTTTAGATGAGTTGCACAACGGGGGGAGCTTCTGCGAGTTTTGTGTAGAGGCAATCGTTACTTTTTGTCACCCAGTAGGAGGAGACCAAAGGAGGAGGCTGCCCATTCCACACGTCTTGTTTTTTTTTCTTCTTGCGTTGCTGAGAGTTGCCGACTCCCCCTGAGCTTCGGACACGAGGAAGCCCCGTGACTCAGACGACCTGACGCCCCCCCCCCCCCCCCCCTCCCCTTCTCGTGCGTGCGATCTTCGAAAATTCTTGCTTGGACAACACGCACGTGGTACTCGTCACAAAACAGGATACCGCCCGCGAGCGCGTCGTGCTAGACGGGGAAGAGATCGTTTTCTGGGGGAGCGCTTCCGACAAGCCCCACTACGTGGCACGAGGAGCTCTGGGCCACCCTGGAGGCGCGGGTGATGGAGAGCGTGCTGAGCGGCGGCGGTGGCGGCGCGACCGGCAGCAGCGAGGGTTCCGCAGCGGCAGCCGCGGCCAAGTCAAACGGCCGCGGCAGCACCGACGAGGCGGTCGGGGGTAGGGGGGCGGCCCCGGCGGTAGGGGACAAGGCGAGAGCGCTCGCGCTCGAGGAGTGGAACAAGGCTCGCGCCGTGGCAACAACCAGCGAGGTGTTCAAGGCCATGTCGAGGACCGGGGCGGGCGGGGACGCGTACTTCGCCCTCGTGGCTCTCTTCTGCACGGCGGACAAGCTGGTCGTGCCCGTGCACTGCCAGGAGTCTCCCATCACGGTAGAGTTCTTGAACCGGTCGTCCGCCGCCGCCGGGGGGAAGGGGGCGCGTGGTCGGCGTTCCAAGGAACGTTTGTCGTTCGGGAAGAAGAAGGGGGCGGGGAAGGGGAAGGGGGATGACGTCCACGTCCTCGTCACCGTGCCGAGCACGTTCGATATCTACTTGCGCGATGGCGGGACAGCTGGCGAGGGTGCCGACGGCGGCGGCGGCGGGAGCGGTGGCATCAGCCACGGCATCGCACACTCACGAGGAAACGGCAGCGGCGGCGGGAGCGGCAAGATTCACCGCAAGTCGAGCACAAGCAGCAACCACTCGAACGGCGACGGCGCCGCGGCTGCGGACGCGTCGAACGCCCTGCACCTGGTCAGGGTCAAGGCAGTCGTCGAGGAGGAGATCTGGGGCCTGGGCAGGGCCGGCGGCGGCATGTCTGGCGGTGATGGTGGTGGCAGTCCACCCGAAGACGGGACCCCGCCGACCCTCCGGTTCCTGCTGGATCCCGAGCGGCACAACCGGAGAACGTCGGCGGGATCGGGGGGCTGGCCCGATGCCCCGCCGGCGGCGGCAGCGGCGGGGGCAGGGACGGCGACGGGGGAGGCCGGCGGCGGCAGCGGCGGCGGTGAGGGGGAGCTGTCGATGAGCCGGCCGCCACAGGCCCCGGCCCCGCTCTTGGCGCTGACCCGCACCGAGCGCCGGATGGCCGTGACCGTGGTGCCGGAGCCGAGCGCTGTGTCCGAGATGGTGCGCAGCTTCTCGAGAAAGATCGGCGTCGACGTCCCCAGCCCCCAGCCCCCCCGGGTGTTGGGCAGATAACGTGCCCCGCTCTCGCATTTGACTGCGCTGCCGCTGCCGCCGACGCACAACAGCTTCAGGCCCCCAGAGCATCACGGTGTTGTTTTGGGGGTGTTGTCCGTTGTGCTGCTGCGACGGTTCGGCGCGCTCTTTGTTGGATGGTCTTGGTCGGCACCCTGGGGCACCGGCTTGTGGTTCGTGGATTTGTTTTTTCGAAGTCTATACCCGTCTTTGTCCGAGTGGGTGGGAGTGCACGGGGCAAGGAATGCTATCGGCCGGTGAATAGCTGGAAGGGTGAGAGGTGATCGCCGAGCGTGAGTATCCGAGTCTTTCTGATTTTGCGTGCCGTTAGACGTTCGGTAGTGTGACCGGTTTCGCGGCTGCTGCTGTGGCTCTCTGAACGGTCCCCGGTTTTTCGCAAGAATGTTGTCCCTGCGCTGCTTTGTTGTACAAATAAGTAGCTTCTTTGACGGAGGGAGGTGTGTATTGTGCACATCCCTGCACGCACATATGTTTGAACGTGGTTGGCTGCTGATGCGGCTGTGCGGAGGACCTGTTACAGTGCAGGATAGACATTTATTTCGGTTTGCCCCGCTCGCCGCTGGGCCCACATGGTCCACGCCCAGCCGTGTTTACGTAAGTATTTTTTTTCTCTCTGACCGACCGTTCGGTGAGAGAGGCGAATGGGGGTCCTCTCAGATTGGAAAGGGTGTGTTTGCCTAGTCGACCCCTCTAGGAGCATATTGCAGCGCCGCTCTTTTTAAAGTGTCCCCGCTTCGGTTTTACAACGTAAGAAGGCGTTTGTTTCATCGTTGGTCGGGGAGCGCCGCCGTTGTTTTCTGCGGGGCTCGCTGCCTTTCTCAAAGGGCAGGGGTTAGGTGTCGCAGCTATGCATATGATACATAGAGGCATCTGGAGGACAAATTTGGCGTACCACTGCCCTTGACCACTCCCTGCGGTGTGGCCGCTCTCGACGCTGTCCGTGCGTGGGGGAATTGCGTTCTGGTGTCTTGTAAGGCCTCGGCGTGCTGCTACGGTTCCGCCGGTGTCGTTTGGTCCAGCAGCCGCACGATAGCGACAGGTGCTCGTGGTGCGCTGTGCGGTTCATACGTCCGCCCCCCTTGTGGTTCACACATACAACGGTTGATTGAGAGTTCAGTGCTTTCTTGGGTAGCGAGAGATAGAAGCCTTTTCGTGTCTGTTCGCCTCTCCTCGTCCTCGCGTTGGCATAGCAGGAGATTAATCTTCCCGTGTAGGCCGGTGTAGCTGCCCGTACGCCCACCCGTTGTTTCCTCCGCAGCACGTGCGTCTTTCGTAAAAGCACTACTGCTGCGAAGAGTTTCCTATTTTTTTTGTGCACTGTACAACGGGAGCACGTCTGTTTGTTTTAACGTTTTAACCTGGCATGAAAATCTTGTGTAGTAATAGGTACGATAGCACCCATCGTTTTTTTTCTTGTTTGACGAACTCATATTCACGCAATGTGCATACAGAACTCTTCAAACATGTTTTTTGGCCTGTTTTCCTTGTTTCATCCTTCCATCTATCTACATAACAAGAGGGATGCACCTCGACAAAAAAAGCGGGGTGTGACCGGATGGATGGAAGTGTTCGTCCGCGATAGTTGAACGTCCAAGTACGACAGCCTGTTGCAGGACGCGACCGCGAAAAGTCGAACCGTTCCAAGCACTCTTCGTCCTCCGAATTGGGAACGAGTGAATGGTGGTGATGCGTTCCTTTCCACGGGGACGTCATCAGCGTTGTTGTTGGCGCGGAGAGAGAGAGAGGTGTTGAAAGGTGGCATGGGCAAGATATACGAAACATTTGAAGAAGCTGGCGCTACTTTGGTTTTGGCTTTGAAACGATCAATCGCATTCTGCCTGAAAGACGTGTGTGTTCGCCCACGAGCTCTCGTACTTCTCTTGTTATACCCTTATTCCCATTGTCACAGCGGCGTAGGGAAGTAAGCTGGACGGTGTTTCAGAGGGAGCAGCCAGCAGAGGCGTGTTTCTCTTTTTTCTTCGCACGGCGGGGCTAACACAGCGAGAAGTCGTCGCCATCAACAATCTTGTGGCACGTGTTGGTTAGTGAGGTATATCAGTTGTCAGGAATTGACAAGACAACAAAGCCAAAGACCACCCCTTCGAAAAAATCGGCGCGCGCGCTCGGGGAGGGTGCTTCGACGAAACATGCGTCTGTCTGTCTCCGCAAGAACAAAAAAAGCAAGGAACCGGCTTCTTGTTCATTTGTTTTATTTCCAGCATTGTTGCACCTGCCTGCTCGCAGAGTGCAGCTCACTCTCTCTCTCTCTCTTCCACTCTATCCTCTATCAAGACAAAAAAGTTGCTATCGCACATGTGTTCGCGCAAGAACTCCGGCAACCCAACCACTAAAATTAAATCAATGATGCAATATCAAAAATCAACCACAAGACCGGCACCAAGTCCTGCCGTCCTCGCCCTTGTCACGTCTTCTTTTCCGAGATAGCACGCATGACTTCCATCTCTACCACACGCAAGACACACACTTGCGAGACAAAAGCAATCGCCGATGTGGCCAAATGCAGCCACGCACAAGTGGAGGCAAGGGCGTGCGGCACACCACACCAAACGACACACCCTTGACCTCACACCAAGGCTAGCTTAGAGAAATAAAAAGTGCCACCAAAACCATGCCGTGGCATCAAACGCAAACATTCGAGGGATGATTGAAATCGGGGAATGAATGTCGACAGCCCCTTTTCACAATCACTCATGCATGCCTAAAACAATTTCAAGCCTCCAGCCTCTCTAAACATCAACGGCGAAGGCCTCCTGTCTTCTCTAACACCACGAGCGACTCCCGGGTTTCAGCGGGGATTGGGCGCCGGTAAACCGTACCGTGGAACGTTGCTGTTGTCGCAGATTCCAACGGATCCATGCTTCACAACGGCAACTTTCTTTCCACGGCCGCCCAACCCCCATTTTGCATAAAAACACACTCAAATCACCCTATAGCATATATCTCGCTAAAACTGCTGCTGCTACTACGGACCTGCGGCGCACGGCCGGGCGCCTTCAACAGCACGCCTTTCCACATCCCTGCTTCGATCGCTATCTCGCTATTCTTGCTCGTCTTAAAACAAAAAACACAACATGAAAGCACAACACGAAGAAAGGGACAAAACAATAGCGCTCGAAGACTCAGCTAGCTGCTGCCGGGCATCCAATAAAGTCGCCCCCAACACGGCTAAGCTCCCACACACGCGCGAAGACCGTACGTGAGAGACTCGCCAATGATAGCTCATCTTCGTCGATACCCCTTGACACTAGCATGCAACGTTGTACGACACACGCAGGATGCGGAGCGCATCTCAAAACACCCGGCCGCGATTCACGACACCCCCGAAACTCGTTCGGAACTAACCGTCGCGTGACTCAGCCCGGAACGTACCGTGGGACGGCTCGTCCTTTCGTGCACGCCCCGGTATTTGCTTGCTTGCTTGCACACACCGAAGCAAACGCTTGGTCAGCCTGTCAGTCGCGGTCAACTCTAAGAGACACAAAGAGACACACACACATGGAACACATGAAAGACGCGCCCAGACACGACGACATCAGCACTAACGCAACACCACACCCTCACGTCCACTGGCACACACGCCCAAGACGCCGAGACGGCACACACTTCTCACAAGACGCGCGACGTCCTCCCTTTTGGTTGTACGGGATTTATCCCGGTTCAACCAGACAACCCACTCAACCAAGGGAGAGAGAGGTCGGCAGCCCCAAACCACAAAAAAAACTAAAGAGAGAAAATCGACCGTCCCGCGTTTTGTAGGCGCTTTCCTGCTCATACGCAGCAGCAACGAAAAACAGCGCAATGTCGTCGCGCGGTTGCGTTCTTGGCTGCCTCGGGCATGTATCCGCCAAGTACATCATTCATGCAACTCTAGACAGACCAACATCGCAAACGACAACAACACAAAACACAAACGACCAGAAGGAATGCAGACAGGAAGACGACAATCAACAGACACGCGAAACCCATGAGTGCTACACACGTGACAACACCACCCCACCTGCTGTAAGCCCCCCCCCCCCCCCACCCCAAACG